GAATGGACATATGTCTATTCGAAATTGACATATGTCCATTCCGAACTGACATAAATTCCGATCTGACATACAACAATTGTAACCAATGGTATCCACAACCACGAGGAAATGCATCATATTCAAGATAGAGTATTATGTTACGAAAAACATGATCACGAAGCCGTGGGTAATTTAACTTATTTTAAAAAAGCACTAATAAAAAAAGTTTTCTCACTCTCCGTTTTATTGTACACTCTACTATGTAGTTTATTAAATTAAAAAGGCAATTTTGGTAATATAAAGCATTCATGTATACGGACATTGTTGACTTCCAGTATTTTTGCGCTGTAATCGACAGTATCACAAGAATTCTAACTAATTAGAACATTCGCAACAGCGCCATCGAAACCACCATATTAAGACATTTGCGGACATTTAACAATAGTAAAAAGATATTTTAGAAGCTACCATTTAGCATGTTCCATGTTCCGTTAAAATTTGCTAAATTGCAAATTGCATTAATATAATAACAAGAAAAAAGAGTTTAATGAATTCAAGATTACTAGAAAACGGATAAATTGTTTAGATTTGGTCTAATACAGTGACTAATAAGTCTAATTGGTAAATGCTGCCCAGCCTTGGCGGAATTCATTGGAAGTTGGAAAGTCATGAAAGACATAGTTAAGATTAAAATTAAAAAATTGATTGCTATACGTACAGTCAACCCTTGTCTATGTCTCTTATTTTATATGGATGGTATTTATAAAAACAGTTTCGTAAGCAGATAGTGGAGCCTATAAAAGGTTATGGCTACAAACGAGGGTTGACTGTATTTTGCAATTGCGCGCTAATGCTTAATTCCATTCTAAAGATACAGGTTTTATAATAAATTTTTTAGGCAAGTATGATTTTTTGATTTATGACCAATAATAAACATGTATTTCTGGACAACTCTCTCAAAAAAATCCGAACAGTATTATTACAGCCGGATTACGTGTATTCAGATTACGGTAAAAACTAAAAGCGGCGGATAAATACTCTATTGTTTGAGTAGTTAACAATCCGTGAGAAATTAATGTGATGTTGCATATCATTTAAATTACTTCCATATTTGAACATTCTCTAACCCTGTAACGTGACATGTGAAGCAAGGGATAATGCGGAATAAAGCGGGTGTGACAAACGCGGGATAAATACGGGATCGACAACTCACGCCCGTGTCGATGATGTGATGGCTGTCGAAATTCACTCAACGAGACTTTTTCGCATCGAATCGGATGTTATCCTAGGATCTTTAGGATTATATTGTCAAACGGCCTGGTATCGGCCCAAGTTTTATACCGAGCTAGAGACGTGTTCACCAACAGACTTGGTGTGTGAAGTTGTCCTGACAGACTGTACTAGGTTCTGGGAAGCTAAGGGTACAGGCTGACGAACCCTTTGCATTAAAACAGACTTTTTTGGTTTTCCTAAATGGTAATCATATTCATTTTTTGTAGTAATCATCTACGATTTCCTGGACAATGCTTTTGGCGCGTCAAAGGATTCAAAGGAAAGGCGGCTTAGGGTTATCCAAGGGCTCTTGAATGGACATAGAATAGTTGACGGCAGACCATGTCAACTCAGAGCCAATAGTCAGTATGAGGTATGCTTTATATAGAATCAGATACGTGTGTTTTTACTCTTTTGTCGAGTGACAGATCTAAATTATTGTGGTTTAGCTTGTGTTTTCGGTTGAAGGGCGAGAAGATGCTAGCGACTCGAAGCGGAACGAGCATATGGTGATCTATCGCTGAGCATTCAGTAACAAGTCGAATATTCATTGCTCTGACATTGTGAGTTTATATTTATAGACGGCTATCGTAGATATATGGAAGCTT